CCTGTGTGTCCGTCCGCCCCTCCTTCTCTGGAACAGTAGGACATGCTGTGAGGGCTTCCGTTCTTCCTGCCCTATGGGCTGCGGCAGCTCGGGTGCATGGCAGTTTCAGGAGGTGCCTAGTCAAGTAAATTCCTGTGGATCAAGTGCGGTGACACTCCAGGCACTTACCTCAACCACCAGTCAGCCCATGAGTACTGCCTGCTGTTCCAGAAACGAGCAGTTTGAGGAAATGCCCCGTCAGTCACCAGCAATCATCCCTCTGCTCCGTAAAGCTTTGTGGTCCTTTGCTTTGCAATAAGTGGACGCCATCCGTGTCCCTAGGCTGCCGAGCTGGTGACAGAGAACTGCGAGGCTTACGAGGCCCACATGAGGGACGTCCGCGACTACCTGGAGGAGAGACTGGCGGTGAGCATCCCATCAGCCCAGGGGAGCGGGTGTCTTTTGGGCCTCATCTCCTGCCAGTGGGCAATGAGAACGGGGACCCTCAGCCCCGGGAGTAGGTCATGAGACAGGAGCCAGAGAGGGACCCAGCAGTGGGTTGTTTTCCAGACTCAAGACAGACGCACCAGAGATGGTGCCTTTAGTGACCAGTGTAGAAGGTTCGTGTGTGTCAGGAGTTTATCTCCTTGTTGGCTTTGCATCCATAGCCAGTCTAGGTAGGTGCTTCCCAGTGAGAATTATTCGATGTGTTGAGGTTGAGGTTTTGTTTCCCAGGAAAGTCTAAAGGTCAAGCAGCTGGTTGGGGGGAGGAGAGGGACGGGGCGGGACTTTGGAGCCGTCACTAAACAACCGAACATTTCATTGATCTCCAGGCTGAATTTGGCGAGAAGAAAATCCATCTGAACAGCCAGTTTCCGGGGACTGAGCGGCTCTCCAACACGTGTAACTTCTCCTTCCAGGGACCCCAGCTCCAAGGTGATGACGGCCTCCTGGTCTCCAGGGCGCCGGGGCTGGGCTGGGCTGGGCTGTGGGCCGCTTGCTTAGGGCACAGTGGCTGTCCTGTCCCAGGTGGCCTGGGCTGTCGCCCTCCTGCCTCCCTTACTGCTTGGTGCTCCAGGCCCAGGGGGAGGGTGTGCGGGTGCTCAGCAGTCTTCATGCCCAGCTGAAAGCGGTTCGGGAAGGAGATAAAATGAACTACGTTTTAGGCTAGTTGATCCTTTTTTGCCAGCAAATTTTACAAGATATTTTATGAAGGTAAGAGAGAGTAGATCACCTTTAAAAACTGGCTGTGAGTAGGGAAAAGTGCAAATCCAGGGGTTTCCCTTGTTCTTGAGACGCTGCCCCATTCAGGGAAAATAGCTGTCCTGAGTCCCTGAGCCAGTCCGGGGGTGACCTGCTGTGCTTCACTGGGAGAGGGGGCGGGCCCGAGGGAGCCATAGCTACAGGGCACATTCGCTTCTTGGGAGGAGAGGTCCTTGTTGCTTTGTAGTCCTGGGTCACAGAGAAGGGCAGCATCGCGGCTGCGTTAATGAGACCCTGGGCTGCGCTGCCTTCTCAGTGGGCCGGGGCAGATGGGCGTGTGGCTGCATCTCCAGGCTTGGTCACTGTGGGAAGCTATGTTCCTGTCTCCTTTCTCGCTTCTCCGGGGGCAGACTTTGTATCACTGACAACCTGTGTTAATGTGAACGGAACAGAGATTCTTGTTACTATTGTCGTCTCCGCCTGTGGAAGTAGAGGGGGCCCTCGGGCTTCATGAAGGCAGCTGCCTAGTGTCTTACCTTTAGAAATCGCAGGTTAAGCCTAACTTATTGCCAGGACAACAACTTACTAAGTGTGGCCACTAATCAGAATCCCGGTGTCTTACTAGGCATGGTGGGAAACGACATTTCTGAGGACAGTTTTATGAGCAGAGCGATGCCTGCTTCTCCACAGCCAGGGAGAGGATGCCTGGTCCCCCTGCGGTTTCTCTCACCTCTGCTGTGTTGGGTGGGGGGCACAGGGAGGGGCCCCTCCAGGACCCTCGGCCTCAGGGGACCTGTGCTCTGTCTCCTCAGGTTGCTCGGTGCTGGCACAATGCAGGACGCTGCTGGCCAGCGTGGGAGCCGCGTGCCACTCGGACCACGGGGACCGGTAAGTGCTCTCCAGGACACATCACAGAGCTGTGCAGCCTGGTGGGACACAGGAAGCAACCCTCTGCGGGCCTCGGGGGGCAGGGCAGGAGCTGCAGCCTGGCGCAGGGCCCAGGCTTGACCAGCAGCTCTCACAGTCTGGCAGGGGTGGGGAGAGGCGGGCAGTGGGGCCAGAAGCCCTATGTGGCAACCGGACAGACTACAGGTCAGGAGCAGCGAGGCCAAGCCAGCCTGGACACAGAAAAGGGCTCATGGGAGAGTCCCTCACCAAGCTTTCAGGAGCCATTGCTCAGGGAATGCTCACTGTGACCCTCAGGGGATGATCTGAGAAGCCCATTTCTAAGATGAGGAAACTGAGACAGAGTGGCCAAGCTGGCAGCTGCAGCCTGCAATCTTGACAGCCACAGAGGTGGGGGTGGAAGGGACGAGGAGGGGCTGACAGCACAGCTCAGAAGGCACAGGTGCCCCGTGTAGCCCCTGGGTGGGTGGGAGGGGAAGAGGGTGAAGGCAGGTGCCCACTGTCCTGTGGGTAGAGGTGGGGCCCTGTGGTGGTGCCTCCTGAAACAGAAGTGAGGTCACCCAGCCAGGGAGAGCTGTGCTGTCACTGCCCAGCGTGGTCCTCCTCTCAGCTGTGACAGGATCGGCTGCAGAGATCTCCGGCTCTGAGGCTGGGTGACTGGAGGTGATGAATCACCCGTTGCCTAGCCCGTACACGATGGCCTGGATCTGGGGTTTCAGGCGCTGAAGTCCAGCAGCCCACGCTGCCTTGCTGCTGGGCCCCTGGCCTGTAGGTGGCCTGTGAAGGCGGAGCCTGCTTGAGGGTTTGAGGACCCCCGCAAGCCTCACACACCCAGCTTCAGAACTGCCTCCGTCCATCAATATAGGCCGGACCCATGTGCGGAAAGCCTTGTGCTGTGTGCTGTGAACCCCCAAACACTTGGGTACGCCACAGCCTCCAGCACTGTGGATGCAAGATGCTCCACCATGTGTGTGTGTGTGTGTGTGTGTGTGTGTGTGTGTGTGTGTGTGTGTGAAGGTACGTGTTTTCAACCGTGTGCGTGTATGGGCAATGTGTGCACCTGGGAGGGGGCGTGCAGGGG